TGAAATTCTACCACCCCTTCAATTTAACGTTATGTTGGTGGTCCTAACCAGTGCAGTGGGGGCAGGGTGGAAAGACGCCTTTACAAATGGTATGATTATTACTGTATATAGAGAATTTAATAGCATCCACAGGTAAATTATTAGAACTAACAAGTGAATTTACCAATGTTATTGGAAAAACAGTTAAAGAGACAAAAATCAAGTACATTGGTATGTACAACAAAACCTTAGAAAATAAAATTTTAAAAGTTGTTCTTATAGTAGCAAAATCAAACACCTCAAAATAAATCAAACACATGTAACGTTTTAAAGAAAAGCACAAATCGTTAGTAAGAAAAATTTCTAAAGACCCAAATAAATGGAGGAATATACCATGTTCATGAATTGGAAGACTATCCTAAATGTCAATTCTCCTTAAAACTGATCTATAAATTCAATGCAATCCTGTACAAAATCCTTGCAGGTCCAAATCCTTTACAGAAATTGAAAACCTCATTCTAATATTTAAATGGGATAAAAAAAAGACTAAGAGCTTTGGAAATCTTGGAAAAGAACAAAGCTGGGAGACTTATACTACCAGACAGGAAAACTTTTTTTCTTTTTTCTTTTTTTTTTTTAGCAGCTAGCCCATATGGGAATCCAAACCCTTGATCTTGGCCTACAAGGCAGCACACTAACCAGCTCAACTAACCAGACAACCCATAAAAACTTATTTTAATACTACAATAATTAAAACAGTGTAGTATTGATACAGGGTAGGCAGACCAATGAACTAAAAGAAACTCAAGAAATATTTATGTATGCAGTCACTGAATTGGGACAAAGATGACCCCACAGTAAAGTCGAGGAATGATGACTTTTTCCAAAAAAGAAAAAAACTAATCTCACAAAATACACAAAAATAAATTCCAGATGGACTGTAGACCTAAATGTAAAAGGTTAAAAATAAACAGATAAATAAACAAAGCATTTAGAAGAAAACACTGAAACATATCTTCATGACTTTAGGGTAGACAAAGATTTCACAAACAAGTGGTTACAAACGAAAAAATGGTAAATTAGACAATATTAAAATTGGTAGATAAATTGTATCATCAAAAGACTATTGAGAGATTTAAAAGGCAACCCACACAGTGAAGGATACACAGAATAATGTGAAAGAAATGGATAAATGTTCACAAAAAAAAATAAATGCTCACAAAAAAAATACAGCAAAATCTTCACAACATAATTCACAATAGCCAAAACTGGAAACAACCTAAATGACCTCCAACAGCATTAAATAAGTTGTGGTATATTCACACAAAGGAATATGATACAAGAAGAATGAACACACTGCAACTGACAAATATGTAATACTAATGAAAAGAAGCCAGACATAAAATAGTACACCTTTATTATGCCATTTATATAGAATTCAAAAACAGGTGAAACTGAAACCAGTTTGAACCGGTATGTACTGGCATGTTTCCTTATTCTAACCTACTTGAATGAGATATTTTACAAAGTGCATGCATCACTGCTTCCACGTCTGCCCCAGATGACCTTCCAATGATCCTTGTTCTGCTAACAGAACAACTACAAGTGGAACCATAAGAAAGGGACCAGGAAATGAGGACCACAATTAGAAGGAAACGATACCGTAAATGGTTGCAGGAGGGACCTAAAAGAAAGGGAGACCAGGATTTCACCAAGCCTCACCAGTCAAACTCTGCCAACTTGATACTTATTCTTTTCCTTGCTCCCCAACTCCTAAAAAACATGCCCAGACCCTGGATGAGGGAGACAGACGTGAGCTTGCATCCTGTCTCCTCACTGGTCCATCCTGCAATAAAGCTTTCTGAGTCTCACAAAAGCCACTGTCAGAATTTGGCTTTCTATGCACATCAGGCAGCAAACCCATTGCTTTGTAACAAAATGAATCTATAGTGATAAAAATCAATAGTAGTTGCACCTCTGCAGAGTGAGAGAAAGATGGAAGGGAACAGGAAGGTAACATTCTGGGGTGATGGAAATATACTATACCTTAATCTGGATGACCATCAAACAAATATATACATTTCTCAAAATTCCCAGGGCTGTTTGCAGAAGACTTGTGTGTTTGTACTGTATGTAAGTCATACCTCAAAAAAAATACTGGTAGGTAGCATTTAAACACATAAATGGGAAGGATTTTAGGCCAGTGTTATGCAAAGTAGTCAGTCGACAAACTATTTGTTGAGGTCCCTGACAATACAAGGAGCTTGCTCCGTACTGTAAATCAACACACTGCTTCCTTCAAAGAGAAAGCCTTGCTATGAAAACAATGTCAGCTCAACTAAACACTGGGTTGAGCTAAGCTGTGTTAGTAGTGACACAGGTGATGAACATTCTAGTGAAACCTCCTTATCTTAACCTGGACTGGAATAAGCATTGACGTAAAGATCAAAAAAAGTGAGAACATGCTAAAGTTCTTTTTGGGTTAGGTTTGAGATATCAATTTGAACTACTTCAGGAAAAGAAAGAAAAAGGAAAACCAAAAAAAAAAAAAAAAAACAATTTTAACAAAAATAGTAAGATGGCTGAGAGGAGTCCAAGTACTGCATATCAATAAATGCAAACATAGATGGTCTAAACTCACTGGTTAAAAGAAACAGACAAATTGAATTTTTTTTTTTTTTTTTTTTTTGTCTTTTTGTCTTTTTTACTGACCGGTAACGGGATCGCAACCCTCTGTGTCGCATCCGTACCGGGGACCGGCAACGGGATCGCAACCCTCAGTGTTGCGCCCGCACCACGCTCAGCCAGTGAGCGGGAACCGGTCTGTATGTGGGATCCAAACCCTCAGCAGGAGCACCGCCGCGCTCCCAAGCGGCGCACTCTTCAGTGCGCCACCGGGCCAGCCCTGAATTTTTTTTAAATAACCTATCTGCTATATATCAAAAACACTGATTGTAAAAAGGAGGGAAAATAAATAAAACTGGTAAAGTATACAGGCAATAGCATACTAATAGAGTATACTAATGAAAAAAAAAAGTCTTAAAACAAAAGGCATAATAAGGTTAAAGAAGATCACTAAAATAATGACCAAAAATCCAACTCACCAAAAAAACAATTACAAACAAGTACACACCTAACATAGTAAGCTTAAAATATACAAGGCAAAAAAACTGACATAACTTCAGAGTAAAAATGATAAGTCCACAATCACAGTAGATCTCAACCCACTCTTCAACTTTTACCCTCAATTCTCCATCCTTTTTCAGACTTTCTGTCTTCCCCTTATATCAGATGACAAAGACATAGAGACACTATCTTGCTCCAAAGCACAGAATAAGCACTTTTGTTACTTTCCATCCCATTTACACAGCCTACTGATCAAGAAGGAAACTCGTGGATCTTAAGGACTAACGGTCAATCCGGATGCATTCTGAACTCTTAAGACTATTTTGTCATCAGTTAGAGGAACAGTGAACTGAAGATAGTGAACCTCTGAAAAATGTCAGGTACTACGTGGCTTATTGCTGCCACCTTCTGGACACAATGTTCACTTGCACTTCAATCATATTGATTTTTAAAAGTCCCAGTAAGAAAGCACATAAGGTCCTAAACAGTAATCTTTCCTGAACCTCCTTTATCTAATGAGAGGAAGATTCTCTAAATTAAATGTGTGTCCTCTCTATGTCTGTGCAACTTACAAGCCTCTGGTAACAATGTTTATTTTTTCCAAGTCATGGGTTTACGTGAGTATAGAAAAATCACATTGCCTGAAATCCACTTGGAACTTAATATATCCACAAAGACTACCAATTTTTCCATACAACCACTGGAAAATTGTATTTTATATACAAATAATTACAGTGAGTCACTTTAAATACATCAATTACACTTTACTCATATGGCATATTATCTACATTACTTGCAATGTTTCTTAAAATATGCGTGTATAGGGCCGGCCCGGTGGCGCACTCAGTAGAGTGCGGCGCTCCCGCCAAGGGTTTGGATCCCATATAGAGACCAGTCCGCTCACTGGCTGAGCGTGGTGTGGGCACGACACCAAGGGTTGCGATCCTGTTGCTGGTCGTGGTACGGGCGCGACACCAAGGGTTGCGATTCCGTTACCGGTCACAAAAAAAAGACAAAAAGGAAAAAAAAAATATGCGTGTATAAATACATACTAAATCTTCTAGCACTCACCCATACCTGGTTCCCTAACCTTCCAGGCACATGGGAAAATTACACTTCCTGTTCCCTTAGCACTTACCTGGGACCGTCTGATTAGTTCTGGTCAACGGGTTGTCAGTGGAAGCGCCACATGCCACTTGCAGGCCAAAGCAAGTATATGCATGTGTGAGACCCTCCGGCATTCTCTTCCTTTGCCACAGTGACAAGAAGGGGCCTCAAAAGATAGCCAAGCCCCATGATCAAAGCAACTTAGATCACTAAAGATGGCTGCCTTAGAGAGACTTTCTAAGAGTAAAAAATAAACTTTTATTGTGTCAAGCAATTGAAGTTGGCTCTTGAATGTTACCTCAGCACAGTCTAGCCCAGGATTTCTCAAGAGTAGAACTACTGCCATCTTAGGCTAGATAACTCATTGTTGTGGGCAATGTCCTATGCATTGTAGCATACTAAGCAGCATCCCTGGCCTCTATCTACTAGATACCAAATCACACTCTTCAATGTGACAACCAAAAATGTTTCCAGACATTGCCTTCCTCCTTCTCTTGGAGAACCACTGACCTAGCTAAGCCTGACCAATACAGAGTATGTACATATGCTTCTATGTAATGTATGATGAATATATGTGTATGAGTATGTTTAAGTCAAATGTCACCTATTCTCCACACTTTATTATATATTAAGGTCAGCTATTCTACAGGCCCTTAACAGACATGAACTCTCATTTCTCCAACTAGGAAAGTTAATTCATAAAGTTAAAAAATTTCAATCAATATCACACGTTTCTCTATAGTAAGGTAAACAAAATATTCCAAAAGGGTATATAAATCCATACATACTATGCTGTTCATTTCGGAGGACTCATAGCTCCCAACCGGATGGACATTTCCAATGGGTTCCAAGCCCTCTTCATCCCACATGTATGTTCCATCAGAGCTATCAGATGGAGAAAGTTCAAATGAAGAACCAGCTCTGTAATCTGTATCTGGTGAAATCAAGTTATTCCCAGAAGTATGTTTTGTACATTCACTCCTGTCTTGAAATGATTTAAAAAGAGAGAGAAAAATTATCAATTTACAAAAATATGATTATATTCCATATTCTAAAAGTATAAGCTCTAATAATTTGATATATTATACCAAAAAGTTGGCCCAAAAAAGCATTCATAGCTGTAGCATTCATAGCTGTAGCATTCTCTAAATCTTAAACGATAAAAAAAAATCAGGAGGCAAAATCTTCAAAATAAGCTACTGAAATGTTTTCCAATATGCAAAAAGAAAATTCATTTAGCCATTTTTCACTTCTTCAACATTTCTAAAAATGTAAATAAAGACTCACATTCCTTTAATATTTCCCAAGGTACTTACTTTTAACCACTATCCAGGAAACTCCTTTCCTCTGGGTACATTATTTAACCTCATAGTTACGTCCTTATAAGAAAAGAAAAACTTGTTCTAGCAGTCACTTTTAGAACACCTGCTGACAATCAAAGGTTTAGGTGCACCTCTAGGCATAACCTAGTCCATTGATTAGACCATGTGCCCATACCCAGACTCTTCAGTTTGTTCTTTCTTCAAGCTATATGGGCACAAAAATATATTTTCTCCAGCATTTAGTGCCAGGATAACCAACTATAAGAGAAAATGTTTCACATGCCATTCTCACTTCCTTCACTTAAAATAATAATATATAAAGCTCCTCTGGAAGTATAACTATAAAGATTGCTAAATAAGAAAAATTTCCTAGGATATGAAATCCATTAGATTGGACATAAACTATATTGTCTCATTTACTCTTCTCGTACGACTTTACTCTTAACAAATATCATTGATCTGCTGCTACACTAAGGGAAGTGACAGTTTGTTTAACAGTATGCCACTGGTGGGGAGAAGTGGGAAAATAAACCATTTGGACACACTGCACATACTAAGTAGAAACAGGCCTGTGTCTGACAGCCAAAGAAGAGCAAAGATTAAGAGTATTTTTATTGCTATTGTTTTAGATAGGGTGAAAAACAGGATAGGGAACAAAAGCTAGGAAGATAAATGTTGCCCACTCCTACTGTATCTAGATCCATCTCTCTGTGAAACTGATAGTATCTTGGAATTTACCAGAAGATAATCCTAAATGTGAGTTTGGTTCTATTATCTAGGAGAAAGCAAATAAACTTAAGGATATTAATATTTACCAGAGACACTTATATCTATCCATTCATCAGTTTTACTGAAGGATTTTTCATTTTCCTTGGGGGCATCAAATACATCCTTTGGTGGTACATTTTCATGCTTTTCTTCTTTGAGAGAAATCTCCTCTGGAGTTATTCTCGTTCTGTTAGAGTCTTCTATATCTATAAAATCATCACTAAAGTCTTCACTTAAATCATTCTTATCAGAAGATGACAAAGAAGACAAGGAAATGTCATCTACATCATCACTCAGATATCTAATTTTAGCATCATGCTTCATGGTCTGGTCGTTTTCTGCTCTATAGCTTTCATTTTCAATTAGTTCTTGGTCCTTATTTGTAACTCTGTGTTTAGCCAAAACTGTAGCATCTTCCTCTATACGTGTGTCAGCAGGTGAATTTTTATTACTATCAACTGTGATTGTCCCAGAAAATGGAGGTCGGCTAGATTTCAGCAAAGAGGAATGAACCATCCTATAACCCAAAGTGGAAGTTACACCTGGGCCATTTGGTAAAGCCAGCTTCTTTCCACCAGCAGCAAAAGGCCTACTAAATCCACACCCCAAATGTTCATTCCCATTGAGTACTTCTAACTGCTGAGAATTTCTTGTTAGCATACCTGACCGTAGAGGCACTCTAATGGGTAGCTGTTGGTTCTGATAAGGCTTTGTAAGATCTACGGCTCTGTTGAAGGAATGTGATCTGGTTATAGATGAAGGCGGAAGGAATGAATTCTGAATGGAATGTGAAAAACTTTGTGACCTTACCATTTTTTCACAAGTAATAGATTTAATATTGTCTGGAGATTGTGCTAAGCTTTCTCCAGAACTGCTTCTGGTGGCACAGGAGTTTGCTCTAGGCCTTTGTATGCTACCAACAGATCGATTTCCATAAAATCCATTCAACTGCGATTTTGGAGCACTGACTGAAGAATATGAAGTCCTTCCTAATAATGTGCCTTTAGTGAATTTACCAAAATTAGATGGTCCAGAAAAAGACTTTTGGTTTAACTCCTCTGTAGATGACACAAACATAGTGGATGGCTTTGCTAACTTTGATGTGAATACAGAAACACTTTTCAAACCTCCTTTTATCCCATTTTTATCAAACATTACTTGAGTAGAAGCATGTTTTCCAGGATCAATTAATTTATCGTGTGGATTTTGAGTACTGTTAGGCTCTTCAGCATTTTGTGCGATAAATTGGTATTTATTTACTTTTCTCCAATTCAATGAATGGGATGGTGGACAATCAGAGCCATTATTTTTTATGTAACTTTTAAAGTTACTACTCTTGGAAGTTCCTAATAGATTAACAGGAGTCCCATTTGGCATCGGCTGCAGTGTACTTCGCACAGATTTTGTTCCATATTTTGGCAACTTGGAGCCCAAAAATGTCTTGATTTGTGTTTTTTCTTCCATGAGCTATAAGGTGCATTTGTTCTTAAAATTTGACAGAGTCTGAGGAGAAAAAAAAAGGTAGATTAAACATACTTAAACAAGGATAATTACATAGATTATTACATAATATGAATGCAGAAAAGCCCAAAAGCAACTCATAATTCTCATAAAACTCTTAACAAATATTAAATTATTAAATGTACTAATTACTAACTTTATGCTGAAAGAAAATAAAGAACATTTTTATAAACACTTTTATAAACTTGGGCTACAGATAACGACAACAAAATCCAGAAATAATAAAATTAGACTACCAAATTTGTGTACAGAAAAATAATACTTCTACAATACATCTTCCAATTTCCAATCCAAATAATTTTTCTCACTTTGGGTAATATTCCTTCCTTTAAAAATAAGAACATGTGATTTGTTTTTTAAAAATACACATGATCTTACAAAAACTGGAACACGTTTTTAAAACCTTAATTACTAAAGTCACGGGAAGAATGTAAGTAAAGAATAAAATAGTACCAAAAAAAAAAAACTCTTCCGGATTAAGGGTTGAGTTATTACAGTTGTCATTTTAAGTAACTATCCCAAAAGAATTTCCATCTAGTATATAAACAGACACTACTGTTAGTATCAGAGTGAGAACTACAAGTGTTAATAAAGTTGCTTCATCTATTAATCTCAATCCCTCAAATTTATTTTAAAAATAATACAACACTACAAATACAAGAAGGATCAATGCATACACAAGAGCACAACACTAGTAACAACTAGTGTCCTCTTTTTGAGTAATTGTTTAATAAATTATGACATGTCATGTGATAAGATTATAAAGATAAAATGGAAATATTAAAATGCTTGTCCTCAGCCAGCTGCCAAAAAAATAAAATTTTTTTAAATAAAATAAAAAAATAAAAATGTCCTAACATTAACAAATATAATATGGTCACTATATTATCACTGTAATTATATAAAAAGTCTGTAAAAACACAAACAAGGACAAAATGCAAATAAAAGAAAAATATATGTCCTAGAGTCTGATTTCTTATTTATGTATCTTATGACATTGTCTTTAATTTGTTAATATTTTTAATTTAAAAATAAAAACTGATTCCAAGTCAACCATGGCCTAAGAATTAGTTTCTAGAGAACAAAAGTAATATTACGTCAAAAGTAAATATTTAGAAAATCATGCAGACAAAGATGCTGGGGTGAAACAGAATTACAGAATGTCCTGTCCCCAAAACTAATAAAAGGGTCAGAATATATGATATTACGTCAAAAGTAAATATTTAGAAAATCATGCAGACAAAGATATTGGGGTGAAACAGAATTACAGAATGTCCTGTCCCCAAAACTAATAAAAGGGTCAGAATATATGTATGTGTATACTTTTTTATCCAAAAACCTATCAGCTGCCGTTAAACAAGAAAAAGTTTGAACTAAGAACATATAAATTTTAAAACTAGTGAACAGAAAAAGATTCCATACAGTACGGTACGGCTCCTAGCCTGATTACACTGCCAGGAAGCAGTAATGAGAAAAATAGGTGAGCTAAGAAAACTTAAAAAAACTTGTAAATTTTAATAAACATCCTCTGATTTGGAAAGAAAGATCCAATTAGAAAAGACCAGAAAATACATCTTGAGCACAGAAACTTCGAAACCTTGGCAGAGGCAAGAGTAGTCACCAAAATCTGCCTGCTTCCAAGGCACTATGCTGAGTTGCAGGAAGGGTCTGAATCCCACAGAAATGTACTACACCATCAGGGGAATGTAGTGAGGCTAATGCAAAACACTTAACACAACCTAAAGAGAAAAAAGCCTGGGGTCCCAGAAAAGCTCTCCCACCAATACCACCTCATGCCCTTCAACTACAGAAAAGAAGACAGAGAAAAACATACACTTCTCAAAATGGGTACTGAGGGAGTGCTGTCAAAGGAAGAGACAGCTAAGATGGGAAAGGCTTTAGGGGGAATTACCAGCATTGTATCAGGACAAAAGCAAAGCCTTAACCTAGTTATACAAATTAAGCCTGAGCAAGATAAAGAGAAATGGACTTGTAACTGTATAAACAAGGAGGTGGAAAGAAGAGAAGACAATGAATATAGCACACAAAACAAAGGAAGAATCCAGTCTGAAAGAAAACAAGGAAAAGAAGGAAATCCCTTCTTTTGTAACAGAGAACAACCTAATAAGGAACATATATCTAATAAAACAAAAGCTCAAAGATGAAAAGACAGAATAGTTAAGTTGAAAGGAAGGTTACAGAGCTAAGGAAACCAATTAAGAACACAGAATTTGAAAAAAAGAAAGAAAAAGAACCAAAGACTGAAAATCAAACTACTGGCATGGAAAAAAATCTTTAAATAATCAGAGTATTGAGAAAAAAAGACAACAATATCAAAGCAATTAGATAGAAAACGAAGGACAAAGATTGAACAGAGAGATAATTAGTATCCCTGAAGTAGAATAACTAAACAAATGGAAGAGAAAAGCAGGGGGACATAATAGAAAATATCCCTAAAATAAAGAAGAAAAAAGTCCATAGAAGGGAAGGAAAATATAACCGAATCACAGATCTAAATACACATCCTGGTTAAGTAAATGAAATACCAAGGATAAAGAAATAATTTCCAGTAACACAAGCAGGAAAAAAAAAAAAATCACCTTGTAAAAGAAAATATTAAGACTTGCAATAAACAAAAGAAAGTACCAGATATCTTTCCAAAGAAATGCTAGAGCTTCTGACAAGAAATTAACCCTACAGAAATTGTCACTGGGCTATTTCATAACTCTGTAAAAACAAACGTTAACACGTAGAAAACTAATGTAATACAAATCTTGTCTACAGACATGCAAATAAATTCTGTCCAGCCGAGGTTCAACTGACTTCCCTCCACCACTCAGGAAGAAGCCAGCTTTTCATTTCTTTGAAAATTCTCTTTGATATTCCTGATCTATCAATGTCTCTGTTCTTACCATTTTCCTTTGAACCAGCTGTAACATCTGACTCCAGCCTTAATAATGAGATAATAAAACCTTTCACATGTGTTCATTTTATATCTAAATGAGAATCATGATTTTATCTTCTTCTAAAATTTATCCTTTAATAGTTTTGGCAGTCCTACAAAGATACCCAGTGGATTCACCTGACAAACTAGGGAATTACTTTGTCAAAGCAGTATAACTCATGGGCAGCTTTAGCTCAGATATGTCTTGTCTTGTCTTCCAGGACTAAATCAAAACTATTAACAGAACTTTGCTCTTTTTATTTTAATTTTCTTCTTTACCAACTTTGCATTTTGTTTTTGTTTTTAGTTTATTTATGATCAATAAGTTATTCCCCAGTAGTGATAATAATGACTGGGAACTGGATTTTTTGGACTGCCATTTAGTGATCTCTGTGAGCAAATTAGTGGTTTAAACAAATCTATTCTCTGTTGGATGAAAGAAAAAGGAGTATTATCTCTTTTGTCTATCTATTTTGAGCTCAAATCAATCGGAATTTCATGCCCACCAGGAAAGAGAATAGCTCTTTGATATTTGGAAAGGTGAGGTTTTGTGTTTCCTCTTTATCCATGGCTAAAATTGCAGAATTGGAAGCCATAAAGTTCTCTCAGTGTCTACAGGACTATGTGTCTATAATTCAGAAAGGTCTTCACCTCTAGTTGTGAGTATATAATGCATTCTACCCCAGAGAGAATTAATAAATTGGATTATAAAGTCTCTTAAAGTATCTCCATTCTGATTGGCTTACAGAAATAAACACATATAAATTGAATATTACCAAAATTCTCAGAAAAAAGGAAACTGATCTTCTAATACTTGAAATGTGGTATACTTTTAAAAATTATTCTTATAGAAACTAACTCAGAAAAGTAAGAATCAAGTTCACATAATTAAGATAAATGTCTGACAAACAAACCTAGTTTAATAATTTTGGTTTCATAAAAACAGCTCTGTCCTCTCATTTTTTATCAGTGTTAAGTATAATAAAAGCAAATATTTTTAACCAGAATAACATTTTCCTGAAACTTATAACAGACTTACTGATCAAATAAGTAAACTTTACTCATACACGATGTTTAAGATTATGAAAATGTAAATTTGTGTTTAAATTGAGCGATTATTTTCACAAACTTCTTATTTTAACAGTAATTATGTTTTATACTATGTCAGCTTGAAAATAATTTCCAAGATCTTTAAGGTAACTTAAAGCCTTGCACTAATATTAAATTGAATTAACTTATGGATAATCATTGGCTAGCTAGATCATTCTAAGACAGAATACTAAAACACTGATTACTAAGCATTATTTTAAGTTTATACACTTTTGCTTCTTATTGTATGCTTCAGAAAGACTACATCTTTGGGACATGTAAATGAACATGTTCATTTTTTCCACTTAAAGAAATTGTATAATAAATCTCATTTTTACAAAAATAACACTAGAGAAAGAGACATCACAAAGAAGTTTGTGTGCACATACGTTTAAACAAACAAACAGTTAATAGTTGTGACCATTAAGGAACTGAGGATTAGGGGAAGACAAGACTTCTTTTTGTCTTTAAATTATTATTGTTTCAATATTTTAAATACACCCATACTTTTGCAATTTAAAAAGTTTTAACTAGAAAACTGTACTTAAAAAATAACCATTTATTCAGCACTAAAATAAAACTCTTAACATTCCAGTCTAACAAAAAAAATTTTTTTAATGAAGTTTAATATCATAAAATATACTTAAAAGACATAAAAATAGCTGTCTGAAGAACAAAAAGGACTTTTTATTTCAACAGTTATTACTTCTTCAAAAATTACCATTTCAACTTCTCCAGACCACAATCTCAATTTAATATGTATTATTTATTAATCTTACCTTTAAATTTTATTCTAAATTCATCATTTTCATTCCACATTCTACTTCATATGCTGCTCATCTATCTCTTCCTGTGCTACTACCAAGGATTCCTACATTACCTAAATTCCAATCTCAATTCTATTCAAACCATCAACAGTTATCCTCTTAGAGCACAAATCTGATCACCG